ATGACTAAACAACAGTGTGGCAGCTGTTGGCAAAGTAGGCGTCTGTTTTTACAATGCAAGTGGTACCAAATATTCTCGGCACCGTAATCGTTTTTTCCACCCTTTGTATCCTCTTCTACTTTATACCAGGGTTAATAGTCAATTATGAATGGCGCGGAGAACAGTCTTCCAACGAGAAGGACAAGACAGCATCGTACGAGGTAAAAATTTCTTTAATTAGGTTTTCAAAGAAAAGATCACACTTGTTGTGTAGAGAACGAACCGACTAACATTTCCAAATAAAAAAATACTTGTAAATGAGTACCACTGTTTTGACAGTGCAACAGTTGGTTCGATTAAGTTAGCTAAAAAGCGAGAAATTCAGCTGTGATTATCAAATAAGATTGATGAGGTTTTCAGTGTTGATACTGGACATCTTATCGTTGTGTAGAACCAGGGCAAAACTATTACTTTAAAGTTCAAATAAAATGAGGCTAAAGAGGCCGGATAAAGATCTTCTCCAGTTTTCAGCTGAAGCGTTTGCGCGAGGAATATGTCGGAAGAGCCCAACGTGCTTTTAAAAGCGTTCGTCACAGTCAAGAGGAAGTACGCAGTACGCAGTTTTTATTGAATTCAGTAAGCAAACATGTCTTGCACTCTACTGTCAACGCAAAATCATGTAGGTTTGCTGATGAAGTACATACAGAAGACACTACCGCTCTACGAAACTGTTGTAAACGAAAATAAATGGGCAGATGTTTCCGGTAACGGTCGAGTGGAAATCAACTTCAATAATGTTTTAATGCTTTTCGCTTCGTACGCACTTACAACAGGTCAAGTGTTGCCTCCCCTGTCTCCATGACGTACTTCCCAAGCGTGAATTTGTTTCTGTTTCGTACTCAGTTTATGTCACGTCAATATTAGCGAGCTAGTGAATGAGATATTGGTTTAAAATGCGCTGGGGAAGCTCACATCAGTAAACTAAAACTTTACACCATCGTAGATACATTTTGCTCCAATATTTAGGTCATGAGAACGTTCGAATACAAAGTATGGTGTCTAAGGCGGTTCTTGTTGTTTCGTCGTTTCTTGCAACAGTGGCTCTCTCAATCGTTATCGGAGCAATGGCCCAGCTTCATACTGGTTTACTGAGAATGGTTGCTTTTTACTTAATTAGGAGGTTTAGAGTTGTATTGTGGTAAGTTTTCAGTAATAAAACATTCGCTGAAGATACCAGTGTCAGTAAAGGCAATCTCTCTTATTAACCTTCATCTATGTCGAATTAACTCTGAGATTTGTACGCAGGCGGTTGATTGGATACTCCGAATCAACAAGTCAGAAAGGAATCCGAACAAACTGAACTACAACTTTATGATGGATGTGGTTAAACGGGAGGCTATCCTACTTCTTATAACATTTGTGATTGCATCAGGTGGTATCGTTGCAGGTAATACTTTAGTAGACCAACGTAATTCAAAATCTCGGTTGCACTAGAAATAAACTTTAGGTGCGGCTATCATGAAACATGACCAGAAGGATTGGTCTTGGAGCATGGCTCTGGTATACGCGCAAGCAGCTGCATTCACTTCAGGCCATACAAAATACATCCCGGACCCCATCGAAGAAAACTCGGTTAGTGATCATGGAACCAATTTTTCTGTTTTTTGTAAACCCGAACCAGCACCACATAGTGTACCATTCTTTAGTGTACTCTGACTTATGTCCTCTTCCTCCTTTCTCTGCACGTGTGGATGATAACCTTGCTAGCTATGTTTCTGGGGTGTGTTATTTCGCTTCTCAGAAGCTATTACAATGCCCAGTGGGCTGAAGTCAGCGAGGAAGAGTTTGAGCAACTGGAGAAAATGATAGAGGAACGTAGGAAACAACGACAGATGGATAACCCGAAGTACGAAGAGTAGCCCATTTCTTGATTGTATCACCTACCTAAGAAATAAATCCTAATAAAGCTTTTATTGACAGCCTTGCAAGTGCACATAGCGCACGGATTTTCGTGTGCACATATTGCTATCAATTCAAGAGAGAAGCTCTTGAAGAGATGATCCGAAGAGAATATGAAGCAAGCCGGAAGCGCATTTTCCAATAGCTTTTTTATTTAAGGAAGCTTGTCGCTTAAACAAAAATCAACTGAATAAAATGTTGCTTAAAATATCAGTAAAAGAAATCGGTCTCTTCTCCAACAAAAATCATGAAATTCAAAACCAGAATTTTAAAACTTGGGACTTCAAAAGAAAATTTGGGGAACATTCAGAGAGAGAAGACACGGTCTTCCAAAAAAAACAAATGTACTACATATATGATGGCGCACTCTGCTACTCAACGAATATAACCGTTCTACGACTGACATATTCGTCAATACCCTTTTTACTGAAATATTCTCCACACGTAACTTTCCTACCCACATTCTGGAAAATCCGGTAACAGACTGAACTGAGGCACGCGAAATCGAGATCTGTAGGCTCTATGCTTTCACAACTGGCCAGTGGCTAAGAAAAAACGTCCAACCAAAAAATCTGCGCGTTAGAAATGTGTCTCAAATGTTCATTTATCCACATTCTTCTACTCGCCTCTATTTTTCTTTAATCCGTCAACTTCCCTTGACGACAAGCGTTTGGACTGCGCGCATTAAATTTATTTCGTATCTCCCTAAAAGGATTCCGAAGTTCTCTCCTAAAAATAGTATTACTTGTAGCCAGACCAACTAGTCAGTGACTAACGCTTTTAAACTACAAATCAGAACGTTCCCAAAGTTTGAAATTAAGGGCATCACCAAGAAAAGCCCCAAAATCCGTTACTAAAGAACGCATAGCGGGTAAAATGACGAACATGCAGCAAAATAAATTGTCAAAAGCGTAGCAGAATTTAATTTTATCTACTGACACCCATAGTGGAAATATCAGCATTAAAACCGCAGGAGACCACATGCAAAGTACCAAATTAACCTCTACGCGGATAAGCCACTTAAAATATGTAAAGTCATGGAGGACCGAGAAACAAGCGAAATGAACCGCTAGCCACACGTTTCTTAGACACTTCCTCCTCTGAACTCACATGCCAGGGGGTAAGTAATAGTGAAAATTATAGAATGGACAGTGTAATTTTAGAAGAATCTTCATGCAGTGTGTCCGTTCATAGCAGAATGACCGATATACTTATAGCAAAAGTTATCTAGCAAAGTCTAATACAGCAATATGCAGAACGGCTTGACATAAGAGAAAGCTTCTTTATGTTATTAGAAAAAATACAATTTTTTAGAGCATATGGGTCCCGTTTCACAGTGGGAACCTCTGGCATTGAAAGAGAATAATATTACTTCTGTCGCACAATGCCGTTAGACCAATAAACTTTACGATTGATATACCCATTAAACATATATACACGTCCCTTCATACGCATAAGTTACTCTTGAAAATTCAAACTCATATCCATACAAATAGCTCAAATATTTTGAACAATTCTAAAGGCTTGCCTAATCAAAAAGCTGAAGTTACATTAACGAAAACTTTCACTGCGCGAAACTATTATGATTCTTCAAGTGCTGCAGAAGCAGAAATTATATACAAAAGAAAACGTTACGCATAACAGTTGCTAAACAGTATGTCTGTAAAACAGTGCGAATTAACAAAAAAAAAGAACTGTTTCTTAGCTCAATTTTTCCGCTGTAGGAGGACCCACAGCAAAGACATGATAAAAAAAATACATATAACTCGTTTTAAAACTAAGAATTTTAAACACTAAAGAACCTGAAAGATGGTATCTTCCTTCAAAAAGTCACCTCCCTTCCAACAATTTTAAAATCTTCTTCCGGTTATTCTTTATTAACATGTATTTCATTGCAAGGCGCTTAATCTTTGTAAAGATCCATAGGAGATCAATACTCAACTGACAGTCACCTTCACTAACAAATGATAGCAATCACAAGTCATTTTCCTTTTTAGAAAAAAAAAAAAGAGATTTCAAAATTAAGTCCTTCAACATTTCAAGCTAAGTACCTTCACAAACTTTTCTGGTAATTTTGTAAGACAACTGTTCTCATTTCATTTAACAGTTAGACACCACCTGGAAAGAAAATCGAGGCAACTTTCTGATTCCACCTCAATAAAATAAGACTTGGATAATGCGATATACCACTTCCTATAAAATCATAAGAATTATTATCCATCATATAGATAGACAAGCCACAGGCCAAAATCCAAAAGCAGAAATTTAGTTTAGAACTAGCAGAAATAACTAAACCAAAAACACTGAATTCGTTTCAGAAATGGTGTAATATTTAACTTCAGGACTAGACTCTTTGGTGACTTTAAACACCTAATAACTAAATAATACTCTTAAAAGCAGAATAAATCCAAAATAAACTAATAAAGACACATTATTTGAATCTCAAACTCCAGAGAAGAAATCAAGGAAACAAATAATACGACTTGAAAATTCCCTTCCTGCCAGAAATTTTCCATCCCATTCATGTCAAGCTGTAAATTAATCCTCCCACTGTAGTAGTTCCTACGCAAGCAACAAAATTATTACCCAAAATGCATTGAGGACTTCAGGCATTGAGGCTTACTAATCAACTCACGAAAAAGAGGTCTTATTACCTGTCTAAAATACTCTTTGTTAGGAGTAATTTCTCCCCCACGGAATTCGCAAACAATCTTCAATTTCTTCTTGGCTGTTATCATCAGGTTCGAAAATATCATATAACTGCTCTCCCAATGCTTCGGTTGTAGAAATCCTCGGACTAGCGCTAATAACATCACTACATCTCGTTTCTTCGTCTTTATCTAGTATACGTTTCGATATGGACATATTTGCGAGAAGATTTTTAAGAGTGAAATGTTTGTCCAGAAGCGAATGCTCGCTATCAAACGGTCCCAGACGCGTTCTCAGCAGACCACGGCAACTTGCAGTGGAGCCTTAACAACAAGCCCTCCTCTTGGTTTTGAGTAAATGCTGACAGAAGCACACGTTAAAAAGAATGGCAAATGCAATTTGTAAAGATCTACCTAGACTAACTCCTACTTCGCGTATGAACTGGCGTATAAATGAGTCCGTCTCGCTGACACATTGAAGCGTCAAAAGAAAATTCGGAGGTTTGAAAAATGACACTTTCGCACTAACGACTATCGGAGCACCCAAAATTTTTGGTCGAGGAAAACCCTAGAGGAAAATCATTGGAAAAACACACAACAAAGAAAAAGCCCTTACCTTTCTCACCAATTCAAAAGCTTCTTGACTTTCAGCATCTACGTTAGCCAAGTCCAGAGCAACCTTTTTGTATAGAGCTTGAACTCTGTATAACAACTTCTGCATTTTATAATAAGTGACCATGTCTAAAAGATGATCGGAGGGATTAATAAAGAGCTAACATTAAACGCTCACTTAAAAAGATACAATAGGTTAAACCCACCATAACTGCAAGTTCTTGTTACCTTTCCACGTACTTGATTATTGACCGTTTCCCTTCCAAGCTGGCCCATTACTTTGTATTGACTAACCCAAGCACGATCAGCAATGCTATCCATTTTATCACACCCTTCATTCACACCAATTACTAAAATCCCAAGTAAAAAAAGAAAAAAAAAA